CTTAACGGTTTCTTTGACTAACTGTTTCTTTGACTAAACTGTTCTTTTGACTTTAACTCTTTCTTGACTAACTCTTCTCTTGACTAACTCTTTCTTTGACTAACTCTTTCTTTGACTAACTGTTTCTTTGACTAACTGTTTCTTTGACTAACTCTTTCCCTGACTAACTGTTTCTTTGAATAACTGTTTCTTTGACTAACTCTTTCTTTGACTAACTCTTTCTTTGACTAACTGTTTCTTTGACTAACTCTTTCCCTGACTAACTCTTTCTTTGACTAACTGTTTCTTTGACTAACTCTTTCTTTGACTAACTCTTTCTTTGACTAACTCTTTCTTTGACTAACTCTTTCCCTGACATTCTAAAAGTCCGTAACACGGAAGTTTCTCCCCCTAAACTTCCTTTGATAATATCGGTTTTTGCCGTCCCTGCCCTGCCCCTCGGCCCGTCGTTTGAAGATGAAGCCTTGAAAGTGATCGCCGCTTTGCGAAAATTGGATGGTGTGGTAGACCTCGAATAGACACCAAATTCGCTGAAGCGGGTAGACATTCTCATCGATTATCATAGCCTCAGTTGGGCTGTGAAAAGCAACTATCCTCATTCTGTTTGTTCTCAGAAGTCTTTCTCGCACACTTTCGTTTTTCTTTTGCGGCCACAACGGTGGCTTTCACGGAACTCATGTTGCAGCGGCCCCTTTCCCAACAGATGAAAATAATGAGCAGCTGTCAGCATTATCTTGCGTTTGGCTGGCGTAAAGACTTTGGCTTCGCAGTTGTTTTCCTGCCGCTGCTTCCAACAGTTCTGGCCACCTGCAATCGCAACATACAATTTTGTAGTGCTGGGGCATTTCACTGTTGTACTTTTCACCTTGACAATGTCTTTGCCCACCCTCTCTTCACACACCTCATCCGCCCATCTGAGGTCGAGGACAGGCAGAGAGGAGGAGAGGAGAAGGAGAGGGGAAGGAGAGGAGAAGGAGAGGAGAAGGAGAGGAGAGGGAGAGGAGAAGGAGAGGAGAAGGAGAGGAGAAGGAGAGGAAGGAAACGGAAAAGAAGAGAGGAAAGGGGAGAGGAAAGAAGAGCGGAAAGGAAAGAGGAAAGGAGAGAGGAAAGGAGAGAGGAAATGAGACGAAGGAAAAGAAGAGGAAGGAAAAGAAGAGGAAGAGGGAAGAAGAGGAAGAGGAAAGGACAAGAACAAAAAGGATCAAAAAGGGACGAAATGAAGGGGAAGAGGAAAAGAAAAGGAAAGAACAAAGGAAAAGAATAGGAACCAGAGGAAAATGGCACAGAAGAAAGAATACAAAAAGACAAGAAGAGAAAGAGCCTTACCATAAAGTTGGGCCACCAGCATGCGGGGCTTTGCAGGGGGACTGGTGGACTTAACATACGTGACCCATTGGCCCTTTAATGGACCTAATGGGGATCTTTCAGATCTTTCACGAAATCTGTTTGCCAAAATCTGAGCCTTTTCTATACCAAGTAAGGCCCATCCTTTACAACAAAACCCTTTAAATGTCATTACCAAAACAATCTATTAACTTGCTTAGTCTGATCCCCGCCATGGCATATATCCTGACGCATATTCCTACATCCTACTTGCATCTGGCATACCATTTCTATCTGGCATTTTCCTAGCGCTCTAGTTGGCATGATTTGACATGTATTCCGGCACTTTTTCTGGCATTCTATCTGACATACATTCTGACGTTTTATGTGACATTCTGACGGCATTCCATCTGACATATAGTCTGACATATCTGACTTTCTATCTGGCAAATATTCAGACAGTTTATCTGGCATTCTATCTGATATTTTATTGGTAGGCCCAAACAGAGACCAGAAAGTAAAGTGCCGGAAAGGATGCCAGATAGAAGATGTCAGATAGAATGTCGGATAGAATGTCAAAATATATGTCAGATAGAATGTCAAGATATTAGCCGTATATCAGGAAAAAAACGGCAAATATAATGTCAGAATATTTGAATATCTACCAGATAGAGTGCTAAAGATGATGCCAGATAGAATGCCAAATGAAAAGTCAGATAAAATGAATGCAAGATGGAGTGGCAGAAAGAATGTCAGAAGAATGTCGGCATTTATTGAAAATAGACAATACGCCAGAAATTGCCAGAATATATGTTGCTTTCAGCATCTTTCAGCTAACAATATGGTTTTGAACGGGATGATATCGGATGTCAAGGCAACGCATTCAGATATGGCTGCCATGTTTGTGCATATGGTCTGGGGGCCTGCCAGGCGGAAGTCCTGCATGTTTTGTGCTTGTTTGTCTTGAGCTTGCCTGTTTGCAGAACATGGCCTACAGCCAAGTTTAGACATGTTTGGCTTGGCACTGCTTTTAGCCACCTGTTTATGTTTTAAGACACGGATCTTTACTTAGCGCTTGGCAGGAATGACAGGAGGCCTGCTGACATGTTTGCGCATCTGATCCTGCAACCTGGCAAGTAGAAATCCAAAATCTCTCTCTCCATCGCCATCCCGTAGGTTCAGCTAAGGCTAGAAATCCGAAATGCATCTAACTGTTTTGTAGCTGTTTGGTATACTGACACTCTTCTGATTGTCTAGACGCGTACAGGCATCCCACACGCTGCAAATGACAACTGCAATTGACGTGTCATTCTATGGGATTGCCTTTATGTTCTCCGGACAGATACTTGTATCTGGACCGTTGTCTAAAATTCCACGCTAAGGATCACTCGAAGTATATCATATATTTTTCTACATTACTTGGTTGTCTATAGGATCCGTGAATGAAGTAAGCGCAGCCTTGATCCGACATTGGACAGCAAAGTACCAAAGCCTCCAAAAGCATCCAAAAAGTACCCAAAGCTGGAAGGCAACTTGTATCATCTTGTATCTAAAGCCAGTAGTCTGCTTTCAGCTTACCGGTACTTTTTGGGATGGGGGCAAAGCATGCTTTAAACACCTTGAAACCTTGAAACACGTTTAAACTTCAACACCAATGCGGTTTATTGCCTGGTTAGGCCTGATTAGATTTGTATATCCAACCATCCGGTGACAACATGAAGGTTCCAGGTCCAAGTGGCTGTTCCTCTGCACAAGGGACTTTTAAGAGCCAGGTAGAAAGACGACTCCTGCAACAACACTGCGATTGGATTGGGTCACGGAAGGTGAAGAACATGGACGAACAAGGACCAAAAAGTATCAATATGTCACGGAGGCAACCTGGATGCACTGCAGGGGTTAAAGAAAGCATTCCAACGAGACATCTTGCAACACTGGTGGCACCCTGAAAGGTAGTGTGTCATAGTGTATCCCAGCTACCGATATGATTCATAGGTAGCGGTTGGGCCCATTTCGTTCAAACTCACAACGGGGCTCCTTCCAGTTTCCATCCCCAAGCTCCGCTTTCACATGCCATTGGCTGTTGCTAAACGTGCAAACCCAATAGGCCAATCCACGCGGGCCACGGCTGCTCCCAAACGACCCAGCATGCTTACCTGAGAAGAAAGTATTAAAACCTACTTGTAGGCTTGGCAAAAAAAAACATGAGGGGCTCGAGGATTGACAATCTAATTATATATATATATTTATATGACTCAAACAGCAATGATTGATAGCCACTTTCTGGAGATATTCATGTTGGATGAAAAGCAAAACAGGGAGCGAACTCAGGAACTCCAGGCAATGATTTTCCATCCTGGAGCAATATATGGGGGTTGTAAAAACCCCGAGCCCTTTCAAATGTTTTTTCATACGTTTTTTTTTGGTCCTATCCCTTTTCCAAGGGCTGGCTTCACACCTTGACCAAAGGATTCACGTGAGCGAACAAAGGGAAAAGGGAAAGGAAGAGTAAAGGAAGGGAAAGGAAAGAATAGGAAAGGGAGAGGAAAAGGAAAGGGAAAGGAAAAGGAAAGAGAAAGGAAAGGAAAACGAAAGGGGAAAAAAGGAAAAGAAAAGGAAAAGGAAAGGAACAGGAAAGGAAAAGGAAAAAGGAAAGAAAAAGGAAAGGAAAAAGGAAAGGAGAAGGAAAAGGAAGAGTAAAGGAAGGGAAAGGAAAAAGGAGAGGAACGGTAGAGGAAAGGGAGAGGAAAAGGAAAAAAAGGGCCGTGTCTCACACGGACCATTTTCGATGCCAATGGCTGCAATCATCAAAAAAGGAGTGTAGCGACCACCTACCAGGCACCTTCCGTGTGCAGAATCTGAAACGCATTCGTTGGCGCACGATTCCGACAACAAACAATGAAATGAAGAAACCAAAAGCACAAAATAGCTGCAGAAAGACAGAAAAATAAACAATTAGATTTCAAGAATCTGGACACAAATCATTTTCAGAACCAACGTTCAACGTTATTTTTTTCCCTCTGATCTTTTTTTCGAGTGAAAGCTAAAAATGGCTCATCGGGGATCATGGAAGACTAAACGAATAGGCGCGGAGTTCTTACAAACTCCCATATATAGATGATATGGATGGCAAAACATGTGGTCCCCAACTTAGATTCACACCTGGAGAAGTGGTCAGCTCCCAAGGTTCGTCTGCCATCAATTACCCTGCGGCATGGGTTAAAACATGTTCGGTGCAACCCTGACGTGGCTCTGCGCCGGAATTGCGGAAGCGCTGCGTATTTTTGAAATGCCATGTCGGTGGACTTTCAATATGTAGATGTATATGTGGTGAATGACCATCATCATCATAATCATCATCATCATCATCGTCATCATCAGCACCACCACCATCATCACCATCATCATCATCACCATCATCATCATCATCGTCATTGTCATCGTCATCGTCCTCATCATCACCAAGGTCTCGTCGTCGTCGTCATCATCATTATCATCATCAGCCCTTAAAAAGACAAGGTGATGCTTTCATCAGAATCAACATATTTGCCACAGAGGTGGGGGATTGTTCATCCCTTATGGAGAGATGCTGATGCTATTTTCAGATTCAGCATATTTGTCAAAGGGGGTGGTTGGTTTTTTGATCCCTTATGAAGATAAGTTGATGTTCTTCCTTATTCAACAAATTTGTCAAAGGGGCGGTGGTGGATTTTTGATCCCTTATGAACATAAGCGGATGTGATTACACCATTCAACAAATGTCTCATAGGGGGCGCCGGATTTATGATCTCTTATGAATATAATACATACAAGTTGATGGTGTTACTATTACCACATTCCACCTGAGTTGACACTGGTGATGATGATGATGATGGTGATGATGATGATGATGATGATGGTGATGATGATTATGATGATGATGATGATGATGATGATGGTGATGATGATTATGATGATGATGATGATGGTGGTGGTTGTAAGTGTGGAGCAACGTCCGGGTTGGACGGAACATGTTAAAACAATGGGATAGGTCGAATTTAGATCTTTTGAATGGACAGCTCGCTCTGGGTTCGAGGTAGTTCGAAGTTTGACCTCAATCAACTTGGGATATTCCTGGTCCTCAAGCATTCAAGCAAAATCAAGAGGGTTGTCAGCAGTCTATCAGGCTACCTTGTGTGAGAGTTTACTTCCATCACCCTACTTGGAGCTCAGGTCCCTTTTTTGCAGCCCAAAGTGCGGATGGCACTTTTGAAGTGTCGCACACCCATTCCCCAGTAGTGGCTCACAAACCATTCCATTGGGCTTGGGCCAACCAGCTCGACAAAGGAAACTTGGAAAGGTTTCGTCAAAGGCTGCACGATATTTGCACACACCTTGGGCACGCCCAGCAGTGGGAAAAGGATATCAAGTTGTTTTTGGGGGTTCTTGATAACGTTTTACAAAAAGAAACGGATTTGCAACCATTGCTACAAAAAATGCATGGGAAGACTAGGGGAAAAGCGACTTGGTGATTTTGTCTGAGAATTGTGTTTCCCAACATCCAATGGTTTATCATAAATTGTTTATCAACACTTTTCCACGGTTTTCATTGTTCCATAATTACTCAGATATGGTCGGGGTAGCAAATTTTCAGACACACACCCACATGGAGGTCAAAATGATCAACGCAAATATATGCAAATATTGCTTATGATTATGCTTATATAATTGATATTGCTTATCTTGGATGATTCCAAGTTCCAAGTCCTCAAAAATTGGCAAAGACTACGGGCTAAAGCTTGCCTGGTCCTGGCTTGGACCGGCAGTGGCCTGACCCAAACACACAGAAAAGATCAACAAAACGCCAAAAAACGTAGTACATGGACCGGTCCTTGATGAAGGTCTCAAAGTACCTCGGTGATGGATGGCTAGCAATCTGTCAATCGCCCTTCCTGCGCCCAAACTTCCCACCGACCAGCTGGTTGTGTCCAAACAGAATCTCTAGTGACTCCGGGTGGAAAAGAAAAGAGGGCATAATTAATACATACCCAGTAGAAACAACAGAAATTGACATCAAACTCAATCAAGCAGCTGCCGAAGCACCTTCAAACCCACTATGACGAATGGTCCGGGTGGAAAATGAATGGACTTATATGGAAATCACTTTTTTTGGACCTCGTTCCATTTCTTTTGGACCTGGACACTTTTCATGGACCTTACTACAATTCCGGGTAGCCATCTCCAAAAGAATTGTAGTAAGGTCCATGAAAAGTGTCCAGGTCCAAAAGAAATGGAACGAGGTCCAAAAAAAGTGTTTTCCATAACCTGCGCACCCTCCTGCTGGACCTGCGTGCCCTCCTTCTGGACCTGGCCCTTCCCCAAACCACACCCTCTTTGGATAGATTCTCCAAGCTGCGTCTTGATCGCAATTCTTCAGACACTAGGGGGCTAGAGCTGCGCTACCATGCAACATGGCAGGAAGATCCCTGTACGAGTTCACCGGGTCAGGTTGGGGCCTGTGATTTTCTACTAGAAAATGTTTGTTGTATAAATTAGGGACCCAAGAAAATCTAGCTACAGACATCAAACCAATTTGAGGTATCCTAGAAAACTGGCAACGCCCAAGAAGTGCATTTTCGAAGCTATGGATAGCATTTTTTCTTAGAAAAACATTACCCTGCTTGAATTGCATAATGTTGAAATTACGAAATCATTTTGTTTGAAAACAACTTCCGGGGAATGGTTCTCTTTTTCTAAAGCCCAACATCCAACCCATCGAATTTTTCGAATTATTCGACGGCTGCAATGAGATGCAGTGAGATGCGGCAAGTGTTGCAAACTTGGACAGGAGAGAGATGGGACTGGATTTTTAGCATGTTTTGAAACAAACCAAAATTACCTACCAGTGCCTCTCTAGAAAATCAGGGACCACTAGAAAATCTATGAACGTCCTCCCAGAGATGCTAAAATTATACCAACCTAAAAGTAGATGGCTCAACTCAAAAACCAAAATACCCATAAGATGGCACCGCGGGGTGAGAAAGAATATGGCGCTATTTTAGCTGGAACATAAAACGAGTTCCGCCAATTGAAGGAACAACCGCCCTACTTTAAAATGAAAAGGTAGATGGCGCAACTGCCATTACAGTACATGAGGGTATTGTTAACTAAGTTTACTACATTTCCGATAAGTTTTGCTTGTTTATACTGCAGATTACACACGTTTGTATTGTAAATATATTATACATATATATATATAATTCCCCTAGATCGTTTATCCTAAAAATTAGTTGCGCCATCTATGTCCCTTAAATCCCGTTCAAACGCCAGAAACTTCTTTTTCGATGGGTTCAAAAATGAGTTGCGCCATCTATGTCCCTTAAATCGCATTCAAATCTTCGAACAAATTCATTGCAATACCTTGAAAATGAACCACTGAATGTTTTAAAACTGATTGCGGACAGAATTTTATGGCTAGAAATCTCATTTTTCAACATATTTTGACAAAAATATATTGAAATAGACTTTTACAATTGCATTGCAATACCTTGAAAATGAGTTGCGCCATCTATGTCCCTTAAATCCCATTCAAACGCCAGAAATTTCTTTTTCGCCTGTTTTCTTTCTCTCAGCGGGGCTATTCCCCTGAAACTGCTGACATAACACCGCGTGCTGCATTTTTGTGTGACAGCTGTTTGCTGCCAAAGCTTTTCCGGCATGCGCGAGGTCTTGAGCCATGCTTGCACCAGCATGATGAACACGGTCCTTGCATGTTGGGGGCATCGTTTATTAAGGGGTTGAGGTAGAACGCACTTCTGAGGTGGCCCGGAAGAAAGATCGCAGTTTTTTGCCAAAAAGGTGGCCGCGAAGAAGGCTGGGAAAGAAGGCGGCGGTGTTGTCTTGAACCTGGGGGCCCTTGGCCAGCCCCGCCAGGCAAGAACAACAATTAATTTGGCTGTCTAAAAAAGATTCCCTGGGTCCAGCACAAATACATGCAGGTCCAAAAAAATATCCCCACAGGGTCCAGAAAACACACAGGCACGTCCCCCACATTTTTTGTGCCCCCAGGTCCAAAAAAAATCCAGCCATGTCAAAAAAACATGTACAAGTCCAAAAAAGGGTGCCCGGGGCCCAGGTCCAAAAAACATGCATCCCGTCTTATATACTGTTCTACGATGCTACCCAAAGCCACACCCACCGCTCGAAAATGCTCGGAAGTATCCTTAACACGCTGCCGGGCCACTGCACGAAATCATGTAATTGTCCAGCAGTCATGGAACGATCAGGTCCTCGCTCACAACGCTTGGGCGGCAAATGGCACTCTCGGAGGAATTGCCGATGACGCTTCGACAAAGGGCTTCCAAAACGGCCCTGCCTGGTGCAAAACCGTGGTGAATCATTTTGCGACTTGTCGGGGCACTGAATGTTTGCACTGCTCAATACTGCTCAATTAGGAATTTAGGGTTTATGCTTGGTAGAATTGCATGGATAGAATTTGTTCTAGAAACGTTCCCTTTTTGATGCCCGACCCCCTACGCTGCCTCTGTCTCCAAACGAAGGCCAAACCCCCAACCAAAATGCCCAGACCAGCAACCAGCAATATCAGGGACCACTCGAGTTGGATCATAGCGGCGGCAGCCGCTGCGCCAAAGAGCAAGCACCAACCAAGGAGAGGACACCGCCATAGACCGATCTGAAGATAAGCACGTGGGAACTTCACAGTGACATGCCCCATGGAGGTGTCCAATGGCTTCTCACTTTTGCCATGCAAAGTCAATTGGAATGAACTTAAGGCCTTCACTTTCGAAGAGGTGCCGTCTAAGTGGGGAACTCCAGTGCCAGCAAACGTGACCTGTGGGCACCAAGATTTCATCAGGAAATGCGAATTGACGGTGGTGATCACATTCTTTTCGCCCTGAGCAGATATGTCAGCAAGGGCAATTCGACCATGGAATCCAAGCAAGCACAAGAAGCAGAAACATGAAGATGCAATTGCGGAGATCACTGCAAGAATCAAATCCATGCTTTCGGGCTGGCAGCTCTGCTTGGTTGCATCAGGCGTTGATCGGATGATTCTGCTTTCACAGCTTTCACATTTACCGCTGCCAGGCTTGGCCACGTGATTCGAGGGACACCCGGTACATTGGAAACTGCGGAGCGAAGCATATTTGCCCGCAGGGCATTGCTCGCAAGTTGTCAGGTCCTTGGAGAAACGGCCTGCAGTACACTCACTGCAGTTTCCGCTGGCTGCACTTGCAACAGTGCCTGGATCACAAGGGGTACACTTTGCAGCAGCCTCCTCAGAATATGTGCCTTCTGGACAACGATCGCATGTGCTGCCACCTTGCTTTGGCGCCACTGTGCCAGCTGAGCATTTAGTACATGAACCGTTTCCACCGAATGAAATTGTTCCAACGGGGCAGTCAATGCAAGCCTGCCGATTGAATTCTCCCCTTCCTGGGGGACATCTAACACACTCTGAAGCCCCTTGAGAATTGGATATGGTTCCTGGAGGGCAATCCCGGCAACTCTCGCTTCCGATGCCAGAATACTTCCCTTGACTGCACTGCTGGCATTTGGGACTACCCCGAGGAGCAAATGTTCCCCCAGGGCAAGGCTCACAAGTTAACAAATCTTGGGAAAAACGACCTGCATCACATGCGCTGCAATTTCCACTGCCTGATTCAGAAACCGTGCCTCGAGGACATGGGTCGCATCTCGCACTTCCCTCCTGAGAATATTTGCCTCGTGGGCAAAGAGCACATGTGCTGCCACCTTGCTTTGGCGCCACTGTGCCAGCTGAGCATTTGGTACATGAACCGTCTCCAGCAAATGAAAATGTTCCAACGGTGCAGTCAGCGCACGATTGACGTTTGACTTCGTATTTTCCTGCAAGACATGCATCACACGCTGAAGCCCCTTCAGAATCGGAAATAGTTCCTGGAGGGCATTCCAGGCAGCTGCTGTTGCCCGCCTCTGAATATGTTCCAAGTGGACATTTCGTGCAGGGGAGCCCTGCAAGAGAAGAAGAACCTTCATCACAAGGATAGCATCCTCCGTCCCTCTCTTCAGTTCCAGCGGGGCAGAATCCATCCACGCAGGTAGTCCTGCCAAGGTCATATCCAAGGTCAGCGTTGTTCTGCGAAAGTACAACGAGAAACCTTCAGCAAAGAAACATGTCCTTAATCTTAGTAAGTTATCTTATCCGTGTATGTATACTGTATGTATAGTGTATCTCGGTGCCGTGTTATCCCACGAAGTTGAGAAACAAACAATATGCAACTCCAGCTCTCCAATCCCAGGCTTATCAAGTTGTGCAATCCTGGAAAATGTCTTTATCATATAACATTTGTTATTCAGCTTTATCCGTCCTGCCATCCTCATCTACACCATAGAAGTCAGCCTCACAGGACAAAAGTATCTGATGCGGGTCCTTGGAAACTAATCCCCAAGGGTCAAATACAATAGATTACAATACGAGCCCCGTACTTAAGTCACATCAGGCGGGAAAAGTCACACCATCCCCATGGCACGGCGGCGATACAGAAAAGTCACATCAGGTAGTGGAGAGTCACATCAGGGAATCACCATGGCACAGCCTGTTTCATCTATACTTGGAGATTTGGTTAAAAGTAGCCGAAGCATTGCGCACAGCGATGATTCTGAAGGGCACAAGGTTATACAAACAAATTCTCGGCAGCTAATTCTATTGGATTTGAATATATTATATTGATGTCCTGCGTCGCGTGACCAAATCAAACCCGTATTGGTACAGCCTCAAATTTCTTGCAATGCAAATGGGTTAGCTGTAGCAAATCCTATTGGCAGAGCTATGACCTAGGATGATATAAGGGCCCCTTGTTTTCCGCAACCAAATCTATGGCTGGCGCGATGTGCATCAATGTCGTGGACAGCTCTCAAGAAGTTTGTTGTCCTATCCGCCCAGCGATTACAAGTTGGAATAAAACCTTCATTCCATTGCGGGCGGAATTTTGTCGGTGCTCCGTCTGCGCCGTCTGTTGTGTCTGTTCCGTCTTGCGCCGTCTTGCCGTCTGCGCCGTCTTGCGAGATGATTGCAATACAATATATGGTACAATTACTACAGTAGCGTGGGACCGAGTGTCATTACCTATACTCCCAAATGATACAATATATAATATGGCATGGTACAAAATAAATCAACTTACGATCTCCTAGCCAATTCGATCAAACCTCGCTGCTGGCGTGTTCGTAAGAACAACCTTGCGCACCCCTTTGCCGCGTCTTGCGAACACACAACGTTATCAATGCACACAAATAAATGGTGAAAAATGTCGGCGCGGTAGAAGATCTAATCTTTTATTATCTTTTATTTGTTCTAGATCTTGATGGCAGTACGCGTTTCACTGCGAAGGAATGTCCCAACTTTTGATTCCTGCAAAAACATGTTCAATGTTCCAAGTCGAAAAGGTGTGGCCAGGAATCAAATCGGACTCCACCCAACAAAGGGGGGCATTATAGCTTGTCTTTCTGAAGGGGTTACAGTATGGGATGGCTTATTCGTTTATGCCGCAGCTTATGCGGATGCGCACAATTTTATCTACGCGCAGGAATAGCGCGGGCTCATGCATACCAGGCTTACGCAAAGTTCTGAAGCCTGAACAACATCATATAACATGATATAACAAGTAGGTTTCGCACATGGCTCAACGGCACAACTGCTGCACATGAACATGAGTGAACATGGATCTTGCGCCCGCCCTTGTGCTTCCTGGCGCCGCCAAATGAAATCACACACACGAACAAAGTTAAATACAGAGCACCCAATAACCATATTAAAATGTCTTTTTAATCTAAATTTGTGTATGTACCCCTCCCATTCCCCCAATCTTCCAGCAGAATTCCCAATGAGCCTCAGAGCAGAGGCATGAGCCGTTCCCTGTGGCTGTGAGTGTAGCTGTGTAATCCCCTGCCTCTGTCACAGCTTTCGCTGCCACATCATCATCAAAGCAACGTCCTCGACCGTAGCAAACTTGGCCTCCGACCTCCCCAGGACATTCCTCGCAGCTACGCATGTGCCTTCCATCCAGCGAAGCTGTGTAGTACTGTGGCTCGCAACGAGAGCAATCCTTGGATTCATAGCCTGGGTTGCATTCACAGTTGACCTGCCTGGCTATGCAAGTGCCTTTCTGGTTGCATGAGTCGCTAGGCTTGCAAAATCCGGCCGTCCAAAGCACAGGGTGTCTCTGAGATTGATGAGCTGCCAAGATTTTGAGCCGTCCATCTTCTGACCCAACACCTATTGCCACAGCCATGCCAAAACCAGCAAATGCACTGGGGTTCCAAAGGCTAAAATCGGTTCCCAAGCATCGAAAGTCATCGTCGCAGTGCAAGGACCCATCCTCCTTGTGCTCACAGGCTTGAAGTCGCAAATAATAATCTGCGGACCCGTGCTTGCGGGACCGCACCAGGTCCATGTCACCATCTCCATCACAATCTAGAAAATGCCATCCCAAGGACTGAACCCAAGCGTCTGAAAGCATTAACGATTCAAATGGAGCTCCAAACTCAATTGACCGCTCTTTGACGCTGCCATCATGTTGCTGCTCAAAATATTGCCTCTTCTCATTCCAGATCTGGATGACAAATAAATCCATGTCTCCATCTTGGTCCCAATCTACAGGCACGATTCGCCGGTCAGACTCTTCGACGGTCAATCGAAATTGACTCAAGGGATGGTCCGGATTGGCTTGGAATTTTCCAGACACCATCTGATAAAAGACCAACCTGTCTTTAGAGGTGGCAATTAGGTCCATGTTACCATCCGCGTCCCAGTCAAGAAGTACAAGGCTATCGTCGTAGGGCGTAAACGACTTCACCTTGTCGAGAACTCCTGACACTTTCTGAGTTTTCTTTTCATTCACCTCATACAAGTAGATGCTATCAGAGTACTGATTTGGCTGCACCATGACATCGTCCCACCCATCCTTGTTCCAGTCTATGAGTTGGAGGCTCCTGGCATCCCCGCCAGAAGTCTCAATGTCTTCATAGCTGGTAAAATGAGAGTTGTATTTCAGGTCTCGGTTCACGACGTGTCGATAGTATTTCTGGCACTCCCAGCGCAATCCCCATCGGTTGGGATCGTCGTGACCAAATTCAATCTGAAAAAGATCAGGCAAGCCATCGGAATCCCAGTCTGCAACATGTACAATTCGGTGATAGAAACCTTCTAATCGAAGTATATGATCCATTCTGGTATCTGATGCCTTTATATTAACAGATCTCACAAGATTCCGAATGATGCCAGTCAGCGGGTTGTCCAAAGGCTCAATGAAACGGCCATCAAGACTTCGGCGGAAGAAAAGCAACTCTCTCTGGCCTCGCTGAATCACATCTAAATGCCCATCACCATCGATGTCAACGAGCTGCACCAGCTGGCCATCAAACATGGCCAGCGGATTCTCAGTGCGTTCAACCAACTTAGTTGGAGTCACTCGCTCAAAGTATTTTTCTTGACCAACGAAAAGGTCAACATCACCATCTTCATCAAAATCTACGGCTCGCAGGTCGCATGATGTGCTTCGATCCACTGAAACGATCACTGACCCAGTTGGTGACGTGCCCTCGGTTTCTAAAACGGAGTGGTTATACCAGAATACCCTGGTTGATCCAGATCTACTCTCGTCCCGAATGCAAAGCAAGAGGTCCATCTTCTGGTCTCCGTCCCAATCGACCACTTCAAAGCTTTCAGCTTTCACCTCACAGAATCATAGACATAGTATTACATAATCAGGAAACCAAACCAGGAAGGTCAGGAATCACCATGAACTTACCCTGGAGACACACTGCTTGGATGTTTGGGGACTGTCCAATATTACTTCTCCCGAAAGGTATCGATCGCTCGCCAATCGCGTGCCAACCGGGACGCCACACGTAACAGTCGCAGGTTGCCATGTTGACTTGAATCGAACAAAACGTTTTTTTATCAACTTTCAAATCGATCTTTGGCGTTGGAACTTGTGGCTGGCACCCTCATATATCCAATTAGGAGAAACGGCAACACGTGGGAAACGGTCCAAATAAAGAGCCGCCCAATCGCGCACCAATTGTGAACCAATCGCAGGGAACTTGCAATCCTACGGGCAAACCCATAGAGCACGCATAAATCCATAACATCATGTTTTTGTTACAAATTCTGATAAAATTCTGATGTGAGGGATGCCTCAAGGGTATACCCCCGTCAACATAATTCAGAATAATAACAAACTGGCATGACTTGACTTCAAAAAAAAACCGGCAAGAGACCCCAAACAGTGTGGGAAGAATAGGGGAATAACGCATTATAATTTACAATGTTGTTGTTATTGCTGATGAGGATGATTATAATAATGATGGTGATGATGATGATGATGATGTTGATGTTGAGGATGTTGAGGATAATGATGATGATGCTGCTGCTGCTGATGATGATGATGATGATGTTTATGCTGATGATGATGCTGATGAGGATGTTGTTGTTGTTGTTGATGATGATGATGATGATGTGCAGGATGATGAGGTGCAGGAAAATGATCTTGAGGCTGATGAGGTTGAGGGTGATGATGCTGGGGATGTTGATGGTGAGTGTGATGATGTTGAGGAAGATGATGTTGCAGATGGTGACGTGCATGGGGATGACGTTGAGGATGATGTTGAGGATGATGGTGAGGATGATGATGTTGAGGAGGATGAGGATGATAGTGACAATGACGATGAGGATCCATGATGATGATGATGATGATGGTGATGATGCTGATGATGAAGATGGTGATGACGATGATGATGATGATGATGAGGGCGATGATGTTGATGATGATTGTGGCGGTGATGATGATGATGATGATGATGAGGGCGATGATGATGATGATGATTATGATGATGATGATGATGACAACGATGGTGATGATGATGATGGTCTTGATCAGCCCAGAACCTAGGACCACACTTTGTGCGAGCCTGCGCAGTCGAAATCCATGTCCACATGTCACAAGACACATCAGAAGAGCAACTTTATACGGAAATTTACAGGAAAAATGCCGCGGCCCAGATTAGGCCCAGAACGCGGACACACACTTTGTGCGAGCCTGTGCAGTCGAAACGCACGTCAAGATTTCACAAGATTTATACGGAAATTTACAGGTAAAACGCCGCAGACCAAAATGAGCCCAGAACGCGGACGCACATTTTGCGCGAGCTTGCGCAGTCGAAACGCACGTCAAGATTTCGCAAGAGCCGCTTTATACAATGCTGCAGGTCAGAGTGAGCACCCTGATCAAGCACCGGCCTCTACACTTATCGTAAGAACCGCTGAGTGTGCACACACTGTTTGGGGAATATTCGAAGAACTCAACGACAAGGTATATGGGATTTTGGAATAATATCTGACAAAAGATGCACCCACAGTTTTTCTAGCAAAGCGTAAGCAGCTGTGCGCAAACGGCCGAAAAAGGATTCCCTCCTTGCAGAGCTGGGGTACAAATTTACACATAATCAGATAGGATCAAGAAGAATCAGAATAATAGCTTCAAATGTTTGCCTTCTCAGCAATCCATTGGTTAAGCATTGTTTTCATTGGTTTTGGATGTTTTTCGAATTTCTGGGCTAGTTTGGTGTGTGGTTGTCGCCCTAGTAGGAATGAGTGGGAACGCAAATATTTGGATTTCACTCGTTTTTGATTTTTTTGCCAGCTTCTGGGCAAGTCTTGTGACTGTAGCAGCTGCCCACTTTGGTGAGGGGCGCCAGGCATCTCCAATACCCCTAGAATAATTTCTCCCCTCAGGAAAGCCCACAAAATGGCACTCAACCTGGCCCTCTCCTAGACATTTTCCTAACCTCGAATAATTGCTTCCCCCTATTTCTTCTATATTCCCTTCACTGCAATCCCAAGAACTCTCAAGAGAAAGTGCCGTGAAAGAAAGGTGGCCCGTTGGACACTAGTTGTGCTTGGAAGTGCGCTGAAAAACTAGACGACGGATGGCCCGAGAGCGTAGAGGAGCAGGGTCTTCTCTTGTTAGTATGGAGACGCAATTTTAGAAACGATGTATGAAAGATGTGTTATAGGCAGTCGAGAAGAGGAGTATCAAGACCAAATAGTGAGAAGCTTTTACACACAGTAGCTTTTACACAGACACTTTTACACAGAAAGTTTTTACCCACAGAAGCTTTTACATACAGAAGTTTTTACACAGACACGTTTACACACAGATACGTTTACACACAGACACTTTTACACACAGACCCTTTTACACACAGGAGTTGCTTTTACACACAAATGCTTGTACGCACAGAAGCTTTTACACATAGACGCTTTTACACACAGGCACTTTTACACACAAACACTTTTACACAGAAACTCTTTTACACACAGACGCTTTTACACGCAGACGCTTTTACACACAGACGCTTTTACACACAGAGGCTTTTACACACAGACACTTTTACACACAGACCCTTTTACACACAGGAGTTGCTTTTACACACAAATGCTTGTACACACAGAAGCTTTTACACATAGACGCTTTTACACACAGGCACTTTTACACACAAACACTTTTACACACAGACGCTTTTACACACAGACGCTTTTACACACAGACGCTTTGACACACAGACGCTTTTACACGGACACTTTTACACACAGACATGTTTACACACAGACACTTTTACACACAGACCTTTTTACAGACAGGAGCTGCTTTTACACACAAACGCTTTTACACACAGGCACTTTTACACACAAACACTTTTACACACAAACACTTTTACACACAAACACTTTTACACACAAACACTTTTACACACAGACGCTTTTACACGCAGACGCTTGTACACACAGAAGCTTCTACACACAAACACTTTTACGCAGAAACACTTTGACACACAGACGCTTTTACACACAAACGGCTTTACACACAAGCGCTTTTACACACAATCACTTGTACACACAGACGCTTTTACACAGAGGCCGGCCCAGGTAGTCACAGCGAAGTCATCGTTGTCGTGGCGACCTCAGCAATCCGACGGGGTGGTGTGGTGAAGTCCTATTTCCATGTGCCTCGAAACCAGCATGTATAAACATGTCATGCGGGCTATGTGCTTTGGGGCCCCCCAACCAAGGTGGTTTGCCATCTCCTGAAAAAAAGGTATAAACGGGCGGACCTGGCAGGCAGCGACCGTTTCTGGGCTGGGACACGCACAGTATTACAATATGATAGAAGTTGGTTCTTTATGGGTTTAGGGTCCTGACTCCTGACTGTGACTGGAATGGAAACTCTTATCTTAACACTCATACATCCATCTCTATATATTAAAAGTCATACATCCATCTTTATATCATATCTCTATCTCTATCTCAATATAAAATATATCGATTTGTTTCTTTGTGGTAGCAGCTTATCCAGGTAATCCATCCCATCCCGGGGCCCTGACTCGATGCAAACCTAGCTGCGCAGACCAACAATGCGGACCCGCAAAGCATTCAAGGACTATGACTAATGACTGTGACAGATCACATTCAGCGATGTCCCGGCACAACTATACGCGCAAAAGGAATCGGCAGCTTTATTGCTCTTCTATGGAGTCTCAGACCGTTCTGCTTGACCCACGCCGATACACTATGGTGAGACAGGATGCACTACGGTGAAACTGAATGTCTCAAGCAAAGATGCGTGCATCAGCAAGTCTCAGACAGTTCTGGTTGACTCATGCTGATGCACTTCATTTTCAAGTTCAATGCTCAGACAGTTCTGGTTGCAATACAAGAATCAAAGTTAAACATCAAATAACTAAGCTGCTCACAAAGGTGTTGACGCACGCCGATGCACTACGGTGAGACAGGATGCACTACGGAGAAACTGAATGTCTCAAGCAAAGATGCGTGCATCAACAAGTCTCAGACAGTTCTGGTTGACTCATGCTGATGCACTTCATTTTCAAATTCAATGCTCAGACAGTTCTGGTTGCAATACAAGAATCAAAGTTAAACATCAAATAACTAAGCTGCTCACAAAGGTGTTGACGCACGCCGATGCACTACAGTGAGACAGGATGCACTACGGTGAAACTGAATGTCTCAAGCAAAGATCAAGCGGTTTTACCAAAAGCTAGCTGCAAAACATTGAATGACTGCCACACACTGACATCCCGAGCTCAGAAGCTAAAGCCGTCAATGCATTGATCCCAAGTTTGCGCACCTGGCGCCGGAAGAGATCAACTCCTCCCTCTGTCGTAGCTTGTTGCAACTCTCGGAGCTTCTCGGACATTTCCGGTTGAAGCGAACCCAGAGTAACAACTCATAGAGGCCAAGCACGATACGAATCTCGGACCAAAAGCTGCGCCGACCTACTTCATGCTTTGACGAACAAACTGAACACAAGCTTGCAGTTGAAACTCGCAAAAATCATGCAGTTTTACGAAAAGCTAGGTGCAAAACATCGAATGACTGCCACACACTGACATCCCCAGCTCAGAGGCTAAAGCCTTCAATGCGTTGATCCCAAGTTCGCGCACCTGGCGCAAAATCATGCAGTTTTACGAAAAGCTAGGTGCAAAACATCGAATGACTGCCACACACTGACATCCCCAGCTCAGAAGCTAAAGCCTTCAATGCATTGATCCCAAGTTTGCGCAGCTGGCGCAAAATCATGCAGTTTTACCACAAGCTAGCTGCAAAACATCGAATGACTGCCTTCAATGCATTGATCCCAAGTTTGCCACCTGGCGCAATAAAAGTCATGCGGTTTTACCACAAGCTAGCTGCAAAACATCGAATGACTACCACACACTGACATCCCCAGCTCAGAAGCTAAAGCCTTCAATGCATTGATCCCAAGTTTGCGCACCTGGCGCAAAATCATGCGGTTTCACCAAAAAGCTAGCTGCAAACCATCGAATGACTGCCACACACTGACATCCCCAGCTCAGAAGCTAAAGGCTTCAATGCATTGATCCCAAGTTTGCGCAGCTGGCGCAAAATCATGCGGTGTTACCAAAAGCTAGCTGCAAAACATCGAATGACTGCCACACACTGACATCCCCAGCTCAGAAACTAAAGCCTTCAATGCATTGATCCCAAGTTTGCGCACCTGGCGCAAAATCATGCGGTGTTACCAAAAGCTAGCTGCAAAACATCGAATGACTGCCACACACTGACATCCCCAGCTCAGAAACTAAAGCCTTCAATGCATTGATCCCAAGTTTGCGCACCTGGCGCAAAATCATGCGGTGCAAAACATCAAATGAATGCCACACAGTGACATCCCCAGCTCAGAAGCTAAAGCCGTCAATGCATTGATCCCAAGTTTGCGCACCTGGCGCCGGAAGGGATCAACTCCTCCCTCTGTCAAGCCTTGTTGCAACTCTCCGACCTTCTCGGACATATCCGGTTGCAGCGAACCCAGAGTGACAACTTATAGACGCCAAGCGCGATACAAATCTCGAACCAATAGCTGCGCCGACCAGCTTCATGCTTTCACCAAACAAACGGAACACAAGCTTGCAGTTGAAACTCGCAAAATCATGCGGTTTTACCAAAAGCTAGCTGCAAAACATCGAATGACTGCCACACGGCAACATGCAGCAGGCCTCCAAAATCTCCAAAGACGAGCACCACGGCCACCAAAAGAAGCTCTGGAAATGCTTACAGTCATGTTTGCTCGGCCAGTTCAGGGGGGAGCAGGGTCTTCTCTTGTTAGTATGGAGACGCAATATTAGAAACGATATATGAAAGCTCTGTTATAGGCAGTCGAGAAGAGGAGTATCAAGACAGGACAGTGAGAAGTGCAAGACAGTAGTTTGCATCGCAAACACTTTTACAAACAGACGCTTTTTACACACAGACGCTTTTAAACAAAAAGCTTTTACACACAGAGGCTTTTACACAAACACTGTAAAACAATTCGACATCGCAACCAATCACCAGCAAGGGAAGCGATACCTTTTCAGCGTTGGTGAGGTTTGTGTCCAATGCTTAGGATTCCAGCTTCAGCCAGCCTTGCCAAACTTAAGTGTCAGTTTGACACCTTTCTTTCATGGCTGGCTTTGCTGGGACCCTCGCCATCTCTCACTCCACCTTCATTTTCTGGGTGGGTGGCAGAGGGAAAGAAAATGTTACAATTGGCCTGGCCCTTGAGCCAAAATGGCCAGGTTGATAGGTTCAATTCCACCCACCAACCCCTGACTTGTCAAATTGTTCAGCACAAAAATACGCTGTGCTGCTTTTTGTTTCAAAACAATTCGACATCGCAACCAATCACCAGCAAGGGAAGCGATACCTTTTCAGCGTTGGTGAGGTTTGTGTCCAATGCTTAGGATTCCAGCTTCAGCCAGCCTTGCCAAACTTAAGTGTCAGTTTGACACCTTTCTTTCATGGCTGGCTTTGCTGGGACCCTCGCCATCTCTCACTCCATTGCCCCGCGCGAGGTCCCAACACTTCTTGCATAAGTGCAGCCCATCCACCTTCGTGACGAAGACAAAATCGGAACGATGATAGTGCCACCCGCACACCGTCCTCCATGCTCTTGGTGGGCTGCAGCTTGCGATGTCCATGTTGTAGTGGACGACCTTGCTCGGCAAGGATTGCACTGCTGGGGGCAGTTTGTTCCCCAGTCTGATGTCCCTGGCACGAAGTTCCTCTACTTCCCTGTCCAGGTTTTGTAACGCTTGACCCTGGTCCACCTTCGCCGCCTCCAGCTCTGCAAGCAGATAGTTCTTGATCCCTTCGACTTCCTCCCTTGACACCCCCACGAAGCTATTGGCCTGGGGTCCCGTGTCGGGGAGTTCTCTTTTGGCTCCGAACGTATCTCCAACGTTCACTGGGAGCGATTCCAGGGCTTCCGCCGCATACTCGTAGATGACGGAGGACTTCCACCTGCCCAAGTATGCCACTTGCGCGATCGCCCAACCCTGCCTGATGTATCTCAGGGCTCCGGTTCTTCTCGCCGAATGACCAGAAACCATCGTGCCGTACAAGAGCCTCCAGTCATCGACCAGTTGCGCTTTGGACGCGAGCTTTGCCTTCTTGTTCATGCAAGCCCGGCTCAATCCCAGCGCTCTCATGCGATCCAGCAGCCTCACCGACGTGTAGAAGGGGCAGCTCATGTAACAGATGTTCCTTTCACAAAGGCATTGGAGCACTCTCTTGACCTGCAACGCTTCTTGGTCTCCCTTAGAAACCGGGAGGGTGAACGTGACCTTCTTGTTTTGGAAGTCGAGGAAGATGTGGTCCTTCCTGATGGCGGCTAGTTCAACTTCCCTGAGCATCCAGATGACTCCGAACTCAAAGAGTTCCGCCGCCAAAGGAACCCGCTTTGGGACTTTTGCGGAGGCCTTCACCGCGAAGTTCTCGCCCGTCTCACATGTCTCCACCTCAGCTGCTTTCTTCTTGGGTCCGACGGCTCTTGCTGACGATCTCTTTGCAAGTTTCAGGGTTCTCTCCAACTGATCTGACCAGTTGTAGCCCCCTTCGATGGCCATCAGCTTGTATTCCCCCAGGTAGTTTCCCGCGGCCCGGTAACCTGCCGCTTTCAAAATTCCCCCCAGCAGCTTGATTTTGTCTGGTGTTGGTGGCAGTCCGGATGACCCTCTCGCCTCCTTGAAGACACTGTTGACGGTGTTCCTGATGGCCTTCTTGCTCTTCACGGACGTGACCGATGCAAAGTCCTTTTCAAGGGCCATGGTCGTGGATTTCGACATCGACGCCCTCCGGGCAATGGCCAGTATGTTGGCGGCCTTTTGTTTCTTGGTCTTGCGATCTTTCCCTCGTCCTTTGTCGGACACGCCCACGGGGCATCTCTCAAGGTGGTTCTCCTCGTCGTCGTTCCACAGCCCTTCGGGTATGTGAGGATCTGCATGTTTAGCCCTCTTCGGACTCCAGAACTCTACAACTGCCGCCAGCTTTTCCTTTGCCTTCGCCGCGGTGTTGTTTGCCATCTTGACCATGGAGCTAAATGCCGATTCCGTTGCTTTCCCGTCCTCAAAGGCCACGGGGAGTCCTCCTGCTTCGAATTCTAGGTCCTTGAAAGGGCTGGGTCCCACACCTTCGTCACCGCCAGCAAGAAGGTGCCCTGTTTCTTCCTCTTCGGGGTAGGTTACGGTGAGCGTTTCCCGCTTGAGTCTGCCGAAAGCAGCGTTGTTGTTGCTGGTGGAGCCTTTGTTGCGCAGTTCGGCAAAGGATTTTGGTCGTTTCAGCGGCCTGCTCCCTTCTGTCCCTTCGAGCCCTTCTTGCCTTTCGTGACCACGTTGTCTGGTGCCGGGTCTTGCCGTCGAATCAGGCCCGCCAGACCCTGACCACCGCTCTGGCGCCGCCGCGGGCCTTCGTAGCAGGGAGGTGAGGGAGCTCGCGGGTGTTGTTGTCTCCATGCCCACATTCGTCCCGCCTCCACTCTCGTTGATGGAGCGAAAGGGCACACCTCTCTTCGCCTGCAGCAAGCCCATAAGCCCCATCCCAAGGCCCACAGGTGCACCGCCAGGCCCGTCAGGGCTAGCCATTGGATCGCGAGGCCTAAGTTCGAGCTGGTGGTGTCCATTTTGAACCGGCGGCTGCAATCAACGGACCCTTTCCCGAAGTTGAAAAGACAAACCAACAATGGAGGAGGAGAGAAAACCCTGACAACAAACATCAGCCCCAGCGGGTTCCCTTTCCTTCCCAAATTTTTCCTGAAATTAAGCCTCACCCTGGTGTTTTGCTCCTTTTCGCATGTCATTTGAAAAGTGAGTACCAGGGTCCGAGACCTTCCTCGCCTTCAGAGGCTCCCCACAAATCCGGCTTACGTCCGGGTGGTGCCAACTGATAGAAATCCTGACCCCTTGGCCCCACCTCGGTCACCTTAACATCGCCAAGTTCCGGCGGCCTAGGGGTCCCCTTCCATTTGGAAGGCCTGCTCAGGTAGTCGGCGGTCTTGTTGGCCGCTCCTGGGATGTGCACGAGCTTCATCTCTTCTACCTTGGCCTTTTCCAGCAGGATGCCTAAGGTTGCTCCCAAGAAATTGATAGCTGGGGAGGCTGCAGACTGCTTCTGCGCCATGGCAAGCGCCGTCACCGAGTCGGCCTGTATGGTCAGCTCCACCGCCATGCCTGCCAACTTGTTTCCCCAGGTGTGCAGGGCCACCACCATTGCGAGGGCTTCCACTGTTCCTTGAGACGCGGAGGACCCTAATTCAAATTCCAGGTCCTTCGCATCCTGTTCTGTCACCGGGGTCGCAATGGCATCGATGACCTGGGAATTCACGATCAGAACGGCTCCTAACCCTTCGGGTGACGCGTCAGTCGTGATGGTCACCTTTGCCCTGTCCCTGGTGGTCAAAGAAATCTTCCTTGTTGGTCTCTCCTTCGTCACGTTGAGGTATTCGATCAACGCTTGCCTTGCTCCTTCCAAGCGTTTGACCACAAACAAATGCTCTTTGGGCCTGGTGTCCTCGCGGGCTTTCCTCCTACTCTCTTCCAGGCCCTGTTTCACTTCGGCTTCTCTTCCTGCCAAAACCGCGTAGAAGACGCGGAGCATCCAGCGGGTCCTCGGCAGTACCCCTGCCAACCACGAGAGCTTTCCACAGATGGCTCTCAACTCCTTCAGAGAAGCCATTCCTTTGGAATCCCACGCCTTCACCTTCTCTTGGAGGTCGTTGATGAACTTCTCCGGCAAGGTCAGCAAAACGTGATTGTCCCCTAAGTGGAACTCTATGCCTGACCAGGTCACTCTTGACCCTCTCTCTCCCTTCCTAATGGAGAGGTTGAAGCCCAGGGCTGCCATCGTGTAGAGCACAAACGCCAGGACTTCGGTCCTCCTTTGTAGTGTTCCCTGCAGTAGCCATAAGGAGTCGTCCAGGTAGATCTGATGTCTTCCTTCATGCAGGGGCACACACGCTTGTATCATCCGCCCCAGCAAAGCGGCCACTCGGGACCACAGTAAGGGTGCCGTCTTGTAGCCGAAGAGTAGTGCCCTGAACAAGAAGAATTCTCCTTCGTGCAGTCCAGGGGTGATGCAGTGCTCGAGTTCCTGATGGTGCACTGCCAAGTGGGGGAAGGCGTCGGCGACATCAATCAGCACCATTTCCCTCTTCCACATTTGTCTCTGCTCAGCCGCTGAGGGCGCTTCTTGTAGCTTTGACATGGTGCGCATCATGGCTACCGCGTCCACCGCCCTCGGGAGCACCAACCTTTCTTCGAGTCGGGCTTTGGAGTTTCCCCCTGACCTTCTCAAGTCGATTATCAGCCTTCGCTTTTTGGTTTTGTCCGGCCTCTCCTTGATGATGATCGCCAACTTCGAGATGGTGCCCCGGGAGAACTCTTCTCTTACCGTTCTTCCGTCGATCTTCTTCAAAAAGCCCAACCTCTCCAGTCTTTCCACTTCTACCTTCGTGTCCTCCTTGTTTTCCAGCACCGACGAATAGTTTACCAGCGCTCCCCTGGCCATCTGCATCGCTGCGTCGACCATGGATTCCTGTTCCGCGTGTCTGTCAGACGGCGGGAAGATGCCCTTGCTCTTGATGTCGCAATTGATGCCCAGCGGTGTGCCTTCCGTCACCCACTTGGCCACTTCGGTGTCGGGATCCGCCGCCTTCATGGTCCAGGCTTCGAGGATGTCGCCATGAATGGGCGAAGTGAAGGTCCACTTCGACTTCAATTGTGCCTTCATCTTCCCCTTCGCCCCCACCGCCTTTCGTAGTTCGGCCCGCCATCTATCCAGGGCCAGGGCCTTCTCGTCGAGGTCGCAGGCCTCCGTGCCGTAGGCGGCTGCCGTCTCAAGCGTCGATGGGTTCGACTTGATGAAGCGCTCCCATGCAGCGAATATCCTCAAACCCAGGCTCAGGGCGTTGGGCATCCCTTCGACCACTTCTGCTGGGTTGCGCATGCCTCCCAAGAAGTTCAGGTTACGGGGGTCTTCCCTTTTGGCTTTGGATTCTCCCAGCATCCCAAACTTTCCAGAACCCCCTTTCCAGTCTCTGTCACCATCGTTTTTGACCTTCTTGGCGTCCATGGGGGAGTTCTCACCTTTGGTTTTCTCCTTCTCGGTCGCCCTCTCTTCTTCGGAGGATTCGTACTCGTACGTGTACTCGTACTCTTCTGCGTCCTGCTTGGCCTTGGCTTTGCTCTTCGACTTTGATGAAGCAGTCGCCTTGATGGTGTCCTCCTCTTTGATCACCCTGTCAGACTCTTCTTCTTTCTGCTTCACCCTTCGTGCCGACCTTGACCTCCCTCTCGCGTGCTCCTCCGTTCTTTTCCTGAGCTCATCCACCTCCTTTCTGAGGTCCTCCTGTCTCTTGGTGAAGAACTCCGCTTTGGCCATCCTCTGAAATTGCCTGATGACCAACCTGGCATACGTGTTGCACAGGTCCTCGGGATATTCACCCGAGGCCGCCGACCGTTCCTTTCCCACCACAGGTACGTGAGGTTCATCGCCGCACCTGCACTTGCCTCTCAACGAAGATAGGCCCGGTAGTGTCCCTCCGAACATCTGGGGCTTAAATGTCCTCAGTCCAAAGTCCAGGTGGGGCTGGTAGATGCAGGTCGGGAACTCCGCCAGGATGAAGTCTTGTTCATACTTTTCGAACAGGTTTGCAATCTCCGGCAACTCCCACGCTGACAGGTGTTCGCCGTGGTCAGTTGGGGGAGGATTTTCAAGAGTTGCGAAGGGCCTCAGTCTGTCTTCCGGCCTGGAGGAAATGATTCGATCGGCCATGTGCGCCGTTCTCGACGCATGCAACGTCCCTTCGTCTGCTTCTTGTTGTCGATGTCTTGGAATACCTGGTATTCCATAAGGATGCCTCTTCGACCGAACTGGTCCTGGATAACCCTTCGCTTCCCGCCACCGAAGTCTCGAGAAGGATGTACATGGAAATCCCGAATGCATCCCATCCCAAAAGCCTTCCTTCGCCTTCTCCAAAAACTCCAGGTAAGGTTCCTCCGCCAGGAGGTCGACGCCGTTTTCCTTCTCGCAAGAGATGACCGTCACTTTCATCCTGTGGGCCTTTGCCTGTCTCTTGATGGCTTCTCCCAAAGGATCCTTCTTGCCCGCGTACATATGGAGGAAGTTGAACCTTCTCTTCATCGTGTAGACGTCCACCGTCATGAGTTTGCCGTTGAACTCCGCTTTGGGTTCATCGTCATTGTCAGGGTCCTTGGTTGTCCGACGTCTCTTATGCGGGCTCTGCTTGTTTTCCTTCTTCTCGTCGTCTTCCTTCTCGTAGGCCTTGTCTTCCCTTCCCCTGGATCTGGACGTCCCCCATGCGAAGTAGGGCACCTGGAAGTTGCCTTGTGTCCAGTTGTGGCGTCGTGCAGACTTCTTCCAATCCCTCTTGAGCTCCACGATCAGCCTTCTTTCTGTGAGCATTGATGTGAGGGGTGTCCCGGTGAACCGCAGGCTGTGCATCTGTGTTCTCTTGCGACGTTTCCTCGGCAGGCAGATCCTGGAGGGAGTCCAGCACAGGCCCCATTGTTGTTGTTCCATGCATAACATGCCGGGGCCTTCCCTTTTCCTTTCCCCTTTCCTTTTCCCTTCGTGCCGGTGTTCTTCTCCTCCGCCTCTTGCCACTTTCTTTTCTTTGCTTCTTTCCGTCTGGCGTTTGCCGACTTCTTCCATGGCTCTTGGGTGTTCTTCGTCCCCTCCACGTCTGGCTTCAGCACCGCAGAGCCCCCTTGGATGCTGGACTCTGCAATGGCCTCCGACGGCGTGAGGAGCTTGCCTCTGGAGCCATGGGCCAACCATGCATTGGCCGGCAGGTGGACTTGTTCGGCCCAGAAGTCGGAATCCTTGAGAAGCCTTCTGAATAGGGCCTCCCAAGGGTTGTCCACGTTCCACATCGCTGGCTCCTTCCCGCCCATGGTGATGTCCATCTCTGTCGACACCTTCAACCTGAGCATGTGCTCCGACCTCGCCAGCTCGTCGGCCTGCACAATGAGGTGCCAGCAGCCCTTGTACAGGCGGTCCATCTTCTCTATGAAGGCCTCGTACGCCACCGCCGTCGACATCGTGATGGCCTGCAGCATCAACAGCGCAGTGCGATAGACCCTGAACGAGGCTCGCCACTGGTCTATGCCACTGGGCCCCGGCAGTTCCTTCGTGTAGAAGCCATTCGGTGTCATGACGTAGGTCCTGTATTTTTGGGCACGATGTGCCTTCCTTCCAAAGGGGAGGAAAACTGCGAAGTCTGCATAGGGGCACTGCTTCGAAGTCAACCTTCTGTGCAGAGCCGAAAGTTGCTCCGTCGTGGGCTCCTCCTGCTCCATGGGTAGGTCGCCTGTCAAGTTGACATATGTCTGCAACCACACCTGCTTCTGCATCTCGCTCGCCACCATGAATTCCGAATCGTCTGCCTGATCCAGAATGCTGGCAAACTTCAGCTTCCTCTCGGGTGCCTTCGTCTGATTCCCGGTGTCCCCCATTTGTTGTGCCGGTGCTCCCGCAGGTGTAGCCCAAGGATCTGGGTCGATCCAGAATGTCAGGTCCAGTCCAGCGTCTGCATGTTGCTTTCGCTTCGCCAATCTGTAGACCAACCCCAACCGCGCGGCCTGCACCAAGGAAATGGGGTCGCCGCTGTCCAAAACCGTCGTCTCGATGGCGGCCTGGATGATCGAAGGTGGAAGCGCGGCCAAAATCCTCGAATCGTCCTTCGGGTCCCCGATCACCTGAGTGAATGCCGCCCACAGGTCGACGGAGATCCCAAAGAACGTCCGACACTCCCGCAGCGACCCAAAAGAGGCCAAATTGGTAGGCCAGGCCATGGCGCGCGAAGCACCGCATTGGAAAAAGAAAATGTTACAATTGGCCTGGCCCTTGAGCCAAAATGGCCAGGTTGATAGGTTCAATTCCACCCACCAACCCCTGACTTGTCAAATTGTTCAGCACAAAAATACGCTGTGCTGCTTTTTGTTTCAACACAAACACTTTTACACACAGAAGCTTTTACATACAAACACTTTTACGCACAGACGCTTTTACACACAAACCCTTTGACACACAGACGCTTTTACACACAGACGCTTTTTACACACAGACGCTTTTTACACACAGACGCTGTCACACACAAACACATGTACACACAGAGGCTTTTACACAAACACTTTTACACAAACACTTTACACAAACACTTTTACACACAGAAGCTTTTACATACAAACACTTTTACACACAGACGCTTTTACACACAAACGCTTTGACACACAGACGCTTTTACACACAGACAACTTTTACACACAGACGCTTTTACACACAGACACTTTTACACACAGACGCTTTTACACACAGACGCTTTTTACACAGAAAACGCTTACACACAAACACTTTTACACACAGACGCTTTTACACACAACACTTTGAACACAACGATTTGACACACAGCGCTTTTTTACACACAGAGACACACAAACTTTACACACAGGACGCTTTACACACAGACACGCTTTGACACACAGACGCTTTTACACACAGAGACTTTTACACACAGAAGTTTTTACACACAGGCGCTTTTACACAAGACAAGAACGGCACAAGTTAAAATTGCAGTTTACCTCAGTTTTGCCGATCGACCCTCATTTCGTGCGAAAGGGTTGCTCCGGCACAAGTAAAATCGCAGTTTTACCTCAGTTTTTGCCGATCGACCCTCATTTCGTGCAAAAAGGGTTGCTCCAGGACAAGTAAAATCGCACTTTTACCTCAGTTTTTGCCGATCGACCCTCATTTCGTGCGAAAGGGTTGCTCCGGCACAAGTAAAATCGCACTTTTACCTCAGTTTTTGCCGATCGACCCTCATTTCGTGCGAAAGGGTTGCTCCGGGTCAAGTCAAATCGCAGTTTTACCTCAGTTTTTGCCGATCGACCCTCATTTCGTGCGAAAGGGTTGCTCCGGGACAAGTAAAATCGCACTTTTACCTCAGTTTTTGCCGATCGCCCCTCATTTCGTGCGAAAGGGTTGCTCCGGGTCAAGTCAAATCGCAGTTTTACCTCAGTTTTTGCCGATCGACCCTCATTTCGTGCGAAAGGGTTGCTCCGGGTCAAGTCAAATCGCAGTTTTACCTCAGTTTTTGCCGATCGACCCTCATTTCGTGCGAAAGGGTTGCTCCGGAGCAAGTCAAATCGCAATTTTACCTCAGTTTTTGCCGATCGACCTTCATTTCGTGCGAAAGGGTTGCTCCAGGACAAGTCAAATCGCAATTTTACCTCAGTTTTTGCCGATCGACCCTCATTTCGTGCGAAAGGAGTTTGCCGTTTCGTGACTGCGCCGCCGGTACCACCCTCGGCCTAAAGCGAGCAAGCAAATAAAAGACATGCTGGCGGGAGGGAGGCGCAAAAAAAAGAGCGAGAAAAAGGAGAGAGAACTGAGAGAAGATGTGAAGATGAGAAGGTGTGAGAGAAGGTATGAAGATGAGAAGGTGTGGAGATGTGAAGATGAGCAGATGTGAAGATGAGAAGATGTGAAGATGTGCAGATGTGAAGATGAGCAGATGTGAAGATGAACAGATGTGAAGATGAGAAGGTGTGAAGATGAGAATGAGAAGATGTGCAGATGAGCAGATGTGAAGATGAGCAGATGTGAAGATGAGAAGGTGTGAGAGAAGGTGTGAAGATGAGAAGGTGAGAAGATGAGAAGATGAGATACAGACCCCCCCTATTGGAAGAACCCTGCGCTCAGACGCTCTC